TAAATCATACATTGCAAAGGTATTTAATACCATTTTCTTTGTTTATTTAATCATAATAATTTTAATCGAAGTTAAATTAATTATTAATCACTGCGTTTTCCATAATTAACATATTTCGTGTTTGTCGATTAAGAAATAATATTTGCGTAGTTATGAACTACTGTAACACTTCGTAAGAGGTCGCTAGTATCGAAGGCCAAATTTTTTGCGTTGAGCGAAATCTCGTAAGATCGTCTCTCTTTTATAAGTAGCTCATCGGTGGCTTGCAGAATGAGATTCCAATATGGCCGCCGTCGTGATATCTGCACGAGTCAGTGTCGCGGAAATGTTTTGAACTCGTTGAGTAATCGCGACAACCGGTCGACATACAACGCATAGGTTAGTAAGGTGAAACGACATTTTATTCGTGTATTCACTTTTTTAATTTAATCGATCAGTTTGTGTCAGGAAACCGGGCTTTCGTGAATATCATTTTTCTCATACGGTTGGGCCGTTAAAATATAGTTCGGCCGCAGTATCATTCCAATGCAGGCATAGGTTACCTCGTTTTTTCATCCTTGAATCAAACGCATATCGCGTTGAATGGGAATCCAGTACCCGTTTCATTGAGTCTACCGATGTACATGTAACACTATGTATGTTTGTGATTGTATGTCTGATGTGTGTACGTTTTTCCTAGCGAGACAATACGTGTGCGTGTACGTGTCAGGTGTGTGGATGCGGTTGCCGATGCGTGAACGTGTATGTCTGTGAAATGTTTAGAATTGTCGCTTATCTTTTCTTTTCAAACGAACATTGTTTGAGTATCGCGCGTGTTTAAACGTCAAGAAAGAAGACTCGTCGTGTGCGTTTTTGACACATCTCGCCATGCTGAATGAACGGCATGGTGCCTTGGCCAGCTACGTACTGAACAATCCACTTGGGAGCGGCGTCTGGTAAGTTGATATATCTTTTAATTTATAACTTTTCTATCCTTGATTCTCTTAACATCGTTCGATCCCAGAAACTTTCATGACAGGTGTTTCTCTCGCTGCCTTATCCTTTGGGATGTCATTTAAGGGTTCTGGTATATTTTGAATATGTGTCGCGCAAGTTTTCACTTATTGTATTTAAAGGCAACTGTCATTCTTAATTAATCGCATTAAAAATTAAGCAATTATGTATATTGTTCATTGATTGCGATATGTCGTTCTATTTTTATTTTGATATACACCAATAATCGCTTCCGGTTGTTCGCGATATTCGAGATATTCGAACGTTGAAAGGACGTGATTCATTTATTTTTAATCAGTCCACATCGTTCTGACTTTTCCTTCTGTAACATTGCCATTCGATGAAATTATTTAATTTCACACGCACACGATATTCCCCTGTGTTATATTGGTAATAATAAAGAGAAGCAAGAACGTTATTTGTTTGTGTAAATTTAACAAGCAGATTCATTATTATTCTGGGAACATACATAGTAACGAGACACGTATATACATTAGCAAATTGATTCATACAGAAAAAGTGTAGGTGTTACATGCAGAGGAGGAATTAGGCATCTATAATTTTTCTATACAATTCATTTTTCATTCATTTTCATATTTTATCAAATTGATAATAATTCAGTTGCAAAGAATCTATTGCATTTTCAGCTGTTGGTACAAAAGTTTATTCCAAAAATCGTTCATTTATGTTCGTCGGTATTGATTTCAAGCGATAAATGAAAATTTGTTCAGTTTCCAATATTCGTCTGCAGTTTTTCTGGAATATATACACTTGATCTAATTTTAATCCGTACAATTTTGTGTCTCTGTGGTATCGTTGTCGTGCTTATAACTCTAAAAGTGTAACGGCACGGCTCATGTGCTCTACCTGATAAATAATTTCTCCGCATTGGAACAATTGCCGCGCGTTTAAGCGTTGGCCTGCCGCTGTGTAGCAGTTACGCTTAAAAAAAGCGCGATTTAAACGTTTTGAATTTACGGTACCTGCTAAGGCATTACTTCTCGCCAAATACGTACATACACACGTTCTCACGTTCTCCGTTTTAACACCGTCGTTTACGTAATAATTTTATAACAATTAATTAGACAAATCATATTGATTTGGAAAAAATTTGTACATGTATGTTAATCGCGTATGTCAATCGTAAATATACCTAAGTTATATAAACAGTTTCATAATTTCAACTGAATATTGATCATTTCTCTGGATTAATTATATGAAATAAATCACAATTAATCGCACTCGTGTGGAAGTTGTGAAAAGAATTATTTTTTATTGCCCTCTGTCGACTGAAATAACTTCACGGTAACATTATAAAAGCAGCAGAAAGAAAGAAAAAAACGTTAGAATTGAAACTTTCAAAAATTAATTCAGAGGATTCGGAATTAAATTACAAATATCCTACCGATGTACTTTCTCGCGATGCGCATAATGTGTACGGATATAAGAGGTTGATTTTACATTTGTTGCCTGAAATGCGATCTATACTCACCTTACCAGCATTCATTTTATGCTTTTTAGGCCTTGACATGTTCGACTATACATTTTTTATATTACATTGAATAATTACAGAATTCTGCTATTATCTGTCTCTCTAGGATTACGTACCAAAGCTTCGAGGGGTGCAATAGCAAAATAACTAGATTTTCTTATCTTGCTAGTAACATACATACAGGGTGTCTCAACTAACACCGAACACCTAAACAATTGCTTTTACTTTCAATGATATTAGAAATGTTTAAAGCGCAATTTGAATGATTTCCATAGAAAAGTACCGCGGAAAGAAAATTTGTATCTACCAGTTATTTTTTTTTCAAGGTAAACGGTATTTTTTTCGCAGGAAAGTGTATATTTTATTCTACTGCATCTTGTAGCAGACGTTAAGGTGCGTTCAGGCGAGCTTTAGTCGCGACCTTGAGATGACCTTGAACACCGCAGAAAATGATCAAATTCCAAAACAGTGTTAGGATGGTATGTGAACTTACTGTTTACGTTATAAATGCTTAAAATGATGCCTGTCAGTGGCGATATATTGTTTAAAACGAGGACTCGTGAATTGTTATCAACTTGTTCTAAAGTAATATCTGTAGTATTTTCATAAACGTAATTCACATTCAGTATTTACCGACAGCCAGCTTTCCACCTCAGACGACATGGTGATTCGCCTAATTAACCACAGAATACTAACATTAATCCCTGCATAAAAATTGGGTGAATTTGAGCCAAAATCAAGTCACAGATTCTTTTTTAAATTTAATTTAATTTGGGCTGAATATCTAATGAACATTAATAATGTTTACAAAATAGAAGAGAATTTGTACGATTCTTATCATGGAAACCAATCATATTTTTCCTGTAACTTCCGAAAATTCCGTATAACGGTCAATTTTTTGTAAAGTTAATACTAACATTTTTTTACTAACCTTATTGACATTAAAATTCCACTAATTGCTCGTTTAATAAGTAAACATTTATTGAATCTACCGATACGTTTAAAGTGAAAGTATATAAACAAAGGTATATGCGAAAAAAGAATATCTCGAGGCATTGTAATCCTTCTGTTAGCGTTTCAGGATTAAAGCTGCTATTGTTATCATTGTAATCCGTGATTACTCCTTTCAGAAAGCGTATCGCCACTGACGGGCATCACTTTGGGCATTTGTAACGTAAAAATTGACTTCGTACACCACCCTAACCTGCGTCTCGTATTTCGTTATTCTTTTAACGTTCAAGGTTAGCTCAAGGTCATAAGTTAGCGTGTAACAGAAAAATGCGTACGCTTGCAGGCAAAGAAATATCGGCGACCTTAAAAAAATTCGAAAAAGAAAATGACCATTGAAAAAAATTTTCCATTTACAGTACTTTTTTGGTGAAATCGTTCGAACCGAATTTGAAACATTTCTGATATCGTTAAAAATACAGCAGATATTTACGTTATCATAACCGAGACACCTTGTATATTTTCAAATTTGCTTTAATGCTCATTTTAATCAGCTTCGACTGGGCCTATTCCGGTGAATCGACACCTAAGTGTTTTTATCGATGCAAATTATTTACGAAAAGCATTGAATGTTGAAATTTTGGGCAAACCGTACTAACCCTTTCAATCCTACGAGCGCTTAGATGTAACTAAAATCGACAAGGTGTCGTTACTGTACATTGCAAATGTGTTTGAAACTTACGAAATATCTGATCTACACTATCTAATTTAACAGAATGTCAATTTCAAACGAGTGTCTCAGTTTTACGTGACACGATCTCCATTGTGTCTCGTACAATATTTAATGCACGAATAAGTATTGTATTTATAGTAATGATCGTACGTTATTCATAGTAATCGTTTACCTTCAGACTGTCCAGTACTCAAAGGGTTAACAGTTTTTTAATAGAACAATTGCAGTTTAGCGGTGGTGACATACACTCGGTCAAAAAAGTCTTCGTACACCTGATTGGAATTTGTTTAACGTTGTACAATTTCAACAGAGAAGATAGTGATTTTATTTATAAACACAGGTGCTTTGCTTTTAGTGTCAGGAGAAATGATTTACATTCGTTTGTTAAGAATTAAACTAAGGAAAATGAATAATGTACAAAATTTCTGTAAATTGTCGTAGAATTGAGCAAAGTGTCTATAAACAAATACAAGTTAGCTTCTTGTTTAGAAGCAAGCAGATAAGACGTCACTCGAGATATTTTTTACCCATAATGGAGAGTGTCTGTTTGTGTTTACATTTATTTGTTTAATTATTAACAAACGAATGTAAATCATTTTTCTTTGCACCAATAGTAAATGTTACGTTTCTATATGAAATAACGTAAGTATTATTTCTTTTGTACTAATTTCTCTGTTAAAATTTTATAACGCTGATTAAATTCTAACGATCTGCACCGAGACTTTTTTCATAGGTAATGAGTGCAGATTTGGTTTCTAGTATGATCCGAAATTTGGGCACATGTGGAATTTTCGAAATCCTCTTTTGTTTGTAGTAACATTCTGTTTAGCAATAATCATATTTCGTCACTATTATAATATTTCTGACATTTCGCTATTTATTTATTTTCGAAAATGTTACACAGCTTTAAAGAAGTGAAAGGTAGTTTCGGTTGTCGTGTACCTGAAAACGTGTAATTACCGATGAATTGATATGTTATAGAAATGCATTCGTGACAACTTTCCAAATCTGTTAAGTTGGCAAACCAGCATTTTGCTAATTTCGTACAAGTTCGCGCTACCCATTTCGGCAGATCTTGAATTAATGGGAGGGCAAATAGACACAGCGTACTCTAATAGTATCTTCACAGCTGATGACGATAATTGTGTTTCCACTTTCGACACCCCTCCGCACTGCACTCAGAGTTATCAGCCTTTTGATAACTCTGTTCGT